CCTCAGGATACATGCGTCTCTCTTACTGTACACAACTACATTTCTGTCATGACAACTCTCGGAGGGATTGGCATGGTAATGTACATGACAATGTTAATGTATTTGGTCGTGAAATTCTGAAGCAGATAGACTGAAATAGTATTTTCTTGTAAAACAAACAACTTCTACAAAATTACAAATTAAATATTTTACAGTGCAGATGTTTTCTTTTGTATGTGGTTCTCATGACTGCAATACACATTTATATTATTTGAAATCACTATAAACAACAAATGGTGGCATGAATGATCTCAGCATCATTACATTGAATTGAATTGCAAAAAATGACATTTTCAAACACTCGTCTGTCATTGGTCAGTCAGTCAGAAAGCCCCGCCCCAAACACAGGTGATTGGCTGAGTCAGAACATGAAGCTGCCCTAAATATTTTCAAATGTACACTAGCAGTCAAAAGTTTTTGAACAGTACGATTTTTAATGTTTTTTAAAGAATTCCCTTCTGCAAAAAAAGTGACCTTCTTCATCAGTATTTTTTGTCGTTGTCCAGTGCAAAACTAAAAAAAAAAATTCTACACATTTCACACATTCTACACACTACTTGAGAAGCAAAATGACAGAAGATAAGAAGTCTTGCTTTCTGAGAAACTGATCAAAATTAAAGTGAGTTTATGATTAAAACAAGAACAAATATCTGTCAATGGAATCAGAAAAATCTTAATTCAAAGGGAAAACGTGTTCATTCCCCATTGACAGATTTGTTTTAATCATAAACTCACTTCGTTTTGTCCAGTTTCTCAGAAAACAAGACTTCATATCTTGATTTAAGAATGTTTAGATATTTGTACAGCAAAACAAGACAAAAATATTGAGGAAGATATTCATTTTTAGCAATGCATGCAACATTTAATACCATGCGCTGATTTAAGACCCTAATTTGTGGAAGGGCTAATGAAGACTTTGTAAGAGTCTTCACAACACTTGGTCTTTTAAGAAGCTGTGTTGTTTTTCGCATTTTTCGTTGTTTCCGCATGTTGTTTGGATGCCGTTTGTGTGTTCATTGCCTACACAATTCAATTATTTTATAAGCATCCCAACAAAAACATGAATCCTGAATCACTGATCAGTGATGTGTTTGTGATGATCATCAGATGTCATACTGTCTTCTGGTCGTTCTCGAAGCATCGGCCTCTTCTTTATTGCATCTCTCCTCAAAGCACTCGCGCCCCAGATTCCCCTGAATCAGGATCTCCTCCAGCAGGAACGCATGGGCCCGCCGCCGGGACCGAAACACTGGAACACACCCAGAACTTCAACAAACATCACACTGTGCACGTTTCACTAGTTATCTAACAGTAGCACTGTTTCCATACACCTATTTTTATGCGCATTTTGGGATATTGCATAGAAACCGCTGGATGTTAATGCCAAGATGCGCATTAATTCTCACGCGCAATTTATAATATATGAAAATGATTACATTCAGTAGCTTCTCCTAATTTTCTTACTGATATTTAGTGCCAGTTTATCAGGAAGTGACGATTTTGTTCTCTTTGACTCGTTGGATAGAGACGGTGCTTTCTTCGCAAATATGTTTTATGCCATATTCCAGTTTTGCGCATAAGTTAAATTCGCATCTTCAACTATTTTTATGCGCATTTTGGGATATTGCATAAAAAAACGCTGGATGGAAACACCAAGATGTGCGTAAATTCTAAAAACATGCATAAAAAAACGTATGCGCTCAACTAAGTCGTATACAATTCTTATCCGGTGAGAAAACATGCGCATAAACTACGATGGAAACACTTTTACTGAACAAATTCCTTAATGTGCATCAAAAAAGACATGCGACATCTGAAGCTCGTAGTTTATAGCATACGAAAATTATTATACAGTGCCTTCTCCTACTGCAGCAAATTTAATTCGATTTCTTTGTAATATTTAGCGAAAGTTAATCTGGAAGTGACGATTTTGTTCTCTTCAGCGCACTGGATGGAAATGGTGCCAATTTTGTTGATATTCCAATTTTGCGCACAAGCTTAATTCGTTACTTTGGATGGAAACATAGCTATTAGCAGTTAACATCCTAATCAAACTAGTTAAACAGAGCAAAACAAGGACAGGAACCATGAATCCAGATAGCTGATCTCTCACCCGTCTGTTGATCCGCGGTCGACACCTGATGAGCGATCAGCGTGAAGAACAGCAGACGACAAATGAGCGATTCCATCGCGATCAATTGGCAGAAGCTCTCAACGACTGTCTGTAGCCCCGCCCACAATCAATACAGTCAATAACATCAGTTCCTCTCCAAAGAGCGTCTTCCTCAGGATACATGCGTCTCTCTTACTGTACACAACTACATTTCTGTCATGACAACTCTCGGAGGGATTGGCATGGTAATGTACATGACAATGTTAATGTATTTGGTCTTGGCGGAATAGATTTGCTACGCTGCTGCTGCTGCTGCAGAGCAAGTACGAGACTTGCTACTGCCAATACATCCACAACATGCTAATTAACTCCGAGAACTGCGTTCCTAAACAGCAGACTCCGAAAATAAGATAACATGACTGCGTTTCGTCTGCGCGCTCTGAAGCTCGTAGTTTATAGCATACGAAAATTATTATACAGTGCCTTCTCCTACTGCAGCAAATTTAATTCGATTTCTTTGTAATATTTAGCGAAAGTTAATCTGGAAGTGACGATTTTGTTCTCTTCAGCGCACTGGATGGAAATGGTGCCAATTTTGTTGATATTCCAATTTTGCGCACAAGCTTAATTCGTTACTTTGGATGGAAACATAGCTATTAGCAGTTAACATCCTAATCAAACTAGTTAAACAGAGCAAAACAAGGACAGGAACCATGAATCCAGATAGCTGATCTCTCACCCGTCTGTTGATCCGCGGTCGACACCTGATGAGCGATCAGCGTGAAGAACAGCAGACGACAAATGAGCGATTCCATCGAGAACCAATCAGCTGTGCCATGTGATAATGATGTCATTAGGTCAGACTGAGTTAGACCTATCGGACTGCGCCATCTAGAGTTTCATGCCAGAACTCTATATTTAACACACGTAGGGTGTTCAGAATTTGACATCAGCGCATTGATGCTTTCAAGCTCATTAATGCGCTGTGATTAATAACTGTTCACTGAATTCATATGCTTTTCATTGGTCTACATGGTAAATAGTGAAAATGAGATTGGTTGCTGTGCTTGAGAGACTGTGTGCTCAACGCTGTGTATCTGGACTCTAGTCTGTCAACATGACCTCTGAACTCTTCATCCGTGTGTTTGTGAACGCCTTCACATACGGCTCGCAGCTTCATTTCTCGTCAAGAAACACGTTTGACTTTATATGATAGAATCAAGACTCGTCTTTATTAAAACTGTGTAGCATCTCATTTGGATTATAGTCAGCAGTGACAAAACAGTTTGGTTTATAGGTAGAGAAAATTGAAAGATTATGAAGACAAACATGTTTTTCTGTGACTGATGAATCATCAACATGAATTAAGATTTCATCGTGTTGATTTACGTTGACTTTGACGTCAGCCTCTTCATACGGCGTCTTCTGAAGCGGCTTCTGCTTTGCTTTGGGTTTTATACAAGCTGTCAACTTTATTTCTAATCAGAAAACACACTTGACTTTAAATGATGTGAATATGATTAAAAATCAAGTGTCGTCTTCATTAAAACTGTGAAACATCTCATTTGGATGATAGTCAACCTCTATGTATTTCAGAGTTGAAAGATTTAACTGGAAATAACATTTCGTCATTGAGGATTGGATTTTGTTCAGAACTGGAGTAATTTATAGTGCGTTCAAGTTTTCCTGGAAAGTTCGTATTTACGAGTTAGTAAGTCATAATTACTTCATCAGGTGCATTCAAGTCACTTTGGTCGAAGTACCATTTTTACATAAAATTCAGATTTTTTATCTCTACTTCTAAAACATCTTGAATAAAAACACTTAAAATGTGTTTTGCTTTTTAAGTTTTTATTCAATATATGAAGGTTCTGTAAACTCAAATAGTAATATATTTTCTGTCGTAATTGTACAATTGAAAGATTATGAAGACAAACATGTTTTTCTGTGACTGATGAATCATCAACATGAATTAAGATTTCATCGTGTTGATTTACGTTGACTTTGACGTCAGCCTCTTCATACGGCGTCTTCTGAAGCGGCTTCTGCTTTGCTTTGGGTTTTATACAAGCTGTCAACTTTATTTCTAATCAGAAAACACACTTGACTTTAAATGATGTGAATATGATTAAAAATCAAGTGTCGTCTTCATTAAAACTGTGAAACATCTCATTTGGATGATAGTCAACCTCTATGTATTTCAGAGTTGAAAGATTTAACTGGAAATAACATTTCGTCATTGAGGATTGGATTTTGTTCAGAACTGGAGTAATTTATAGTGCGTTCAAGTTTTCCTGGAAAGTTCGTATTTACGAGTTAGTAAGTCATAATTACTTCATCAGGTGCATTCAAGTCACTTTGGTCGAAGTACCACATAAAATTCAGATTTTTTATCTCTACTTCTAAAACATCTGGAATAAAAACACTTAAAATGTGTTTTGCTTTTTAAGTTTTTATTCAATATATGAAGGTTCTGTAAACTCAAATAGTAATATATTTTCTGTCGTAATTGTACAATACAATGTTATTTTATACATGCAAATTTAAATGACAAGATATATAAAATTGTAATAATTTTAACAGATTCACCATCAAATACAGATACTACATTCATTGCATCCTAGATATTCTCTCACTTTTAACTCAAGGCTTAAAGAACGTTTCGAGTTTCCAATGTGGTGGCGTTCAACTCGTAAAAACGATCTATCCGACATGATTTGAATGCACCATTGATTTAGATTTTTTTGCACCCTCAGATTCCAGATTTTCAAATAGTGTCCTATCCTAACAAACCATACATCAATGGAAACATCAATTTCATATGATGCATAAATCTCAATTTAAAAAAATTGACCCTCATGACTGGTTTTGTGGTCACATATGCGTATGAAAGATTATGAAAGAAAACAGAATAATGTCATTGATGAATCAGCACGAATTAAGACGTCAGACTCTGCTTACAGGCGTCTTCCGAAGGAGCTCCCGCTTTGCTTTGGGTTTTATAGACGCTTCCATCTGCGGCATGACTTTGGACATGGTGTTATGGATCCACGAGATGTATTTGGAGACCTGCGTGTAGACGCCATACTTGCCCTTCCGGGCGCACCCTTCGCCCCAGCTCACCACGCCCGTCACGAACCACGTGCTTTTGTAGCGCGTCACGTGTGGCCCGCCGCTGTCGCCCTGACACGCATCCTTCTCCTCCTGATCGTATCCGGCGCAGAACATGCGGCTGGAGATCTTAAACTTGCTGGACTCGATGCACTTGGCGCGGTCGACGTATGGCACGGTCAGCTTCTGCAGGAAGGTGGACTGGAGGCCGCCCTCGCGCACGCGTCCGAAGCCGCTCACCAAGCCGTCCTCCTGGAGCATCAGCACGCGCTCGGCGAAGTTGCGCTCCGGAAGGCAGGCGGGGACGATGAATCTGCTGAATCTGATGGGCTTGCAGAGCTTGATGAGGGCGATGTCGTTGTGGTAGGTCTCAGCCATGTAGTTCTTGTGAATCAGAATCTCGTCTACGTCGTGCGTGACCTCACGACCCTCTTTGACCAGCGTGTCGAACTCACCTGACAGGAAGACACAAACAGGAGTGAGATCTGTTTAACATCTCTATAGTTTCTCCCAGATGGACACTCTCCGTGATGTTTCTCCTGAGAGTAATCTCACGTGTGTCTCCTCTAGAGTTTAGGAAGAGATCTCAACCAGTGTTGGGGAAAGTTACTTAAAAAGCGGAGAGTTCCGGTGCTTGATTCTGATTGGCTGAGCCGCGTTCGAAGCTGTTGTAAATGACTCTACAAAGTAACATACACCTTTGTTTACGTTTGTGTGTTGCTCGGCAACCACTTTGTTGCAACCAC